AGCAGGAGACCTTCTTCTGCCTGAAGTTGCTGCTTTCCTCTTTCTGTGCCTGATGTTCTTGTAAGGATGATCTGAGCTCGGTGGCTGCTGCTAATTGCCCGTTTCTCCTCATCGGCCGCACCTTTAGATACTTGCAAAGAGCCACCCCAAATTCCCAATGCTTTTCAGAAGGCTTATGTTGGGGTACGGATCATCCCCGGGACCGGTGTTAAGTACGGCGGGCTCGGAGGCTACGAGCCTGTCCCTGGGACAGCACGGGGTCAGGTCTCTTGTCAGCAGAACTTTTCCTGCTCTGGAGTTCAGAACCTGTGTGGCAGGGAGTGTATATCACCCTTCGCCTCCATCATCCGTGCAGTAGCTGAGAAGTGGTTCCCAGGGTCGGAGGATGTCCTTACAGTCTGGGGCTCAAAGATGCGGATGGTGCTAAGATGGGGAGAGCCAATTAGACGGGTCATAGTTTTTACCATTTAATTAAAAAGGTCATAGTTAGCAATTTGAGTGGTGTCAGGTTGATACCGAGGTCGATGCTTAAGCCCTGAGGCAGCCTGTAGTGTCTTGAAGGTAGCTGGTGAGTCGTCATGCATCCCACAGACTGGCGGCAGTACAGAAGTGGGGCTTTGGCTGATGTCTCTGGGAAGGGGAACAACTTGCAGTTTCTGAGTGGAAGCTGACAGTTCCTTTAAAAATCAGTCTGTTGAGAAACTTCTCCAGTGTGCACAGCACCCCCAGCGCCTCCCTGCAGAGGCATCTGCTGCCCCCCGGCTGCCAGCACCGCCTTTACACCCTTTTTTTAATTTTTTTTTTTTTTTTTTTTTAATTCACGGTGTTTAGTCTGTTTTTCCGAAACTAAAAAACATTAACAATGTCTCTGCCTCAATTGCTGCATCTGTTAAACCGTCTTGTCTTCTCTTACCAGACAGAGGTGCAGTGACAGTTGGCCACCGTCACTGTATTCAGTAAGAATGACCCTAAAAAGCCCTTTTTTGTTTGGTGATCCACAGAGGTTCAGTGTCCCGTCCCAGACATCGCGCATGGACAGCTGAAACCTGCACAGAACGTCACCGCCGGCAGCACGGCCACGCTCGAGTGCGATGCCGGCTACGTCCCCGTGTTTGCCACCACCACCACCGTGCGGTGCCTGGGCAGCGGCAAATGGTATCCCCGCGTGCCCGCCTGCACCCTCGGTACGCACGCATCTCTTTTCTCCTTACCTTGTCTCCCATGTGTAGTTGTCTGCTTGTATTTCACTAACGGCACGTGCGGTGGGCGCAGGAGAGGGGTTGGAGGACGGGCACCACGCTGAGCTGCGCTGTCTGGGGTTTGGTGGCAGGATTCAGGGGACACCTTACCGCCCTCGACGGCTCCCTGAAAGGAGGGGGGGGCGGTCTCTTCTCCCCAGGAACAGGCGATGGGACAAGAGGGAACGGCCTCAAGTTGCGCCAGGGGAGGGTTAGAATGGATATTAGGAAAAAGTTCTTCACCTGAAGTGTTGTCAAGCACTGGCACAGGCTGCCCAGGGCAGCGGTGGAGTCGCCATCCCTGGAGGCGTTTAACAGACGGCAGACGCGGTGCTGAGGGACGTGGGTTAGGGGTAACTTGGCAGCGCTGGGTTAATGCCTGGACTTGATGATCTTAAAGGTCCCTTCCAAACAAAATGATTCTATGATTCCCCTCTGCTCTTTCATGGCCCCGGGGTATCGCGGCAGGACTGGCTGGATTAGGCTGTCCTACCTGACTGTCAGGGTGGCCCCAAGGAGATGCAAAAATGTACAAGAATTAGATTCACCGCATCCTTTGAATTTGTCACCATTATTTTTCCCCTTCTCATTTCCCCCCCCCACCCCCGCAGTGATGCTGAGGGTCACTGCTGTCGCTCCCCTCTCTCGGGGTTTCTACCCTCGGGCGAGGGGCAGGCTGGGCTCCCCCAAAGGCAGGGCTCAGCTTCGTCCCCAGCGCCTCTGTGGGGGAGACCTCCCAGCTCTGAGGGTCCGTGTTGTCCCCTGCTCTGGCACCAGGTCACTGTCCCTACCCTCCTGCCGTCGATTACGCGGACCGAAACCCTCAGCACACGTTTCCAGTCGGGACGACCGTGACCTACTTCTGCAGATCCGGATACACTTTGCTCCCCGAAGTCTCCCCAGTAATTACTTGCCTTAAAAATTTCTCATGGTCCGTAATCCCGAAGCTTTGCCAAAGTAAGTACGCCATTTCCTTCGCTTTTCCAACAAAGCATCAATTTAATGACGTGGAAATAACATTGTTTTCGAAATACCCACTAGTGGTGCTGTGCCATAAGGACTTTACTGAGCCGTGCTTTGGCTCTCATTAATAATAATTTTGCTTTTCAAAGGGTCGCATGGCTGAAAAGAAATAGCTGCAACTCTCGCTGATTAATTAGCTGTTCAAACAATGATGCAGTGATGCAGCTAGTAACGCACCATCCCTTCAGCACAATTTATAGCTAATCACAGGGCTCAGACCTTTCTGCCTTCCGAGAGAAATGGTTGTTTTCACATAATTACCGTCCCTGAGTGTGCCAGGTCTGGTCAGAGCCGTCTGCCAGCAGTAACAGGCCGCCTGGCAGGTTCTCAGGGTCAGGAAGCCACCACCACCGTGGGAAAACACCCCGGTGCAAATGCCTCCTGCTCTCCCCTCCTGAGCCCAACCTCGGAAGCTCTTTCTGATGCGGGTGTTCCTCAGAGGCGCAGTGTCCCAGTCCCACCGTCCATCACGGCAGAGAGATCAGCCCCAGGAAAGCCGAATACACCTTTGGGCACCAGGTGGAATTTCAGTGTGACCCCGGGTACGTGCTGAGGGGCAGCCAGAGGATCCAGTGCTGGTCTGACGGGACGTGGAGACCCCCGGTGCCGTACTGCGACAAGGGTGAGCGCGGACGGCGGGCGTTGGGAATTGCATCTCTGCAGCGGGTGGGAACAGCAGTGAGAAAATCGCGTAACTTGAGCATTGCTTCTCGGAGACGGTGGTGTTAGGAGAAGGGGTCCAAGTCACAGCATTAAATGGCTTTAACATTTTAATTTTCTATCTAAACTGTAATTGATTTAATGTGTTGAGTAATGGGACTTGCAGCCCTTTCTCAGAGGACTGTTCAAGGGGTTTACAATACTTATAATTCCCTGACCCCGTTTATGAGCTGGATCATTTCTCATGGAAAAGAAGAAGGGATAAGGGAATGTCAACTGAAGGGGAGGGGGTGGAGGTCCACGCCGAGGTCCCGGGGCTGTGCCATGCCGGGGCGGTGAGCTGGGTCACTCTGGGAACACTGGCAGAGCCAGGGCCAAACCTGGCAAGCAGCGAGGAGGACTTTGAGAAGACCAGCTCGAAGTATAAGCATCAAGAACTGGCTTCTCCTGTTACTTCCCTGCACTTGTCTCCCTGCCCAAACTAAGAAAATCTTAATTTTTCTTTTCTCTATCCTCCCATAGTTTGTGATCCCCCTCCAAAGATCCCCCACGGGCAGCACTCTGGCTTGAGAATGGAGCAGTTCCCCTACGGCTTAGAAGTAAAGTACAGCTGTGCGGAGGGTCTGTCCCTCATTGGGGACACCTCCATCTACTGCACCTCCGACGATGGGGTGAACCTGGCATGGAGCGGACCTGCCCCGGAGTGCAGGGGTGAGTCGTTTCTCCTGTATGGGACCAGACTGAAGCCAGGAGCTGGGTACAATATTAGCAACGAGGGGATTAGAAGGGAGCAGGGCTGCCGGGAGATGCTGCTTCTTTTGCAGGATGCTTCACAGGCTCAACAGCTCTGGACTGGGGATAATCCACGTGGAGATAGGACACTCTGGTTCTTCTACGCTGATGGCCATCAGGCGGTCAGGAAGAGCGTTTTTTTTGAGCAGCGGCCACAGGCAAACCCCACCTCGGCTCTCTTCCCGCAGTGGTTCGCTGCCCCAAGCCCGCAGTCGAGAGGGCGAAGATGACTCCGCAGAGGTTCACGTTTCCCTACGGGGCGGACGTGCGGTTCTCCTGTGAGGAAGGCTTCGTGCTGCGTGGCGCTGCCGAGAGCCGGTGCCTGGCCGACGGCGCCTGGCACCCCCCGCTGCCCACCTGCCAGCCAGGTGGGTACCAGAGCCGGCAGCCGAGCCAGCGGCCCCCGCGCCGCTGCAGATGTCGGGGTTCAGCGGTGCGTAGCTGTGTCTGCCCTCGGGGCTCCCCAGTGCCTTCCCCTCTTTGCAGAAGAAACAGCTGGTGTTTACCAGGCAATAGCTGATTTTTTCTTGACAGCCCCGTATAAAGGAGGCTCTAAGACAGGTCAGGAGACACCATCACTCTTGACTTTCTCTTCAGTGCGCGTTCTTACCGACAAAGGTCGCTCTGTAGACTCCTGCGTGGGGAAGCCTGGGCTGACCCAGGTTACACCACGTGTAACACCTCTTGGGGCTGTTCTGACCTTCACCCTCCCCTCTTGAAGGGCCTGGGGAAGTAACTGTGCTTTGATGTTTGGTTTCACAGCTCCACAGATTTAAGTTCACCTGTACTGACTCAGTCTTCATAAATTTCTTAGTTTTTTTTTCTACCTACGTAATGACCACCCTCTTGCTGAGCTGCCTTCTGCTCTGGGTTTTCCTTTCAGTTCTGTGTCCACAACCACAAGTGGCCAACGGAAGGCTGAAAAGCCCTTTGGGTGGTAAAATGTGGTACCGAACAAATGCAACTGTTACTTTTGAATGCCTTCATGGGTACCACTTTTCGGAGGATGGAGACATGGCTTCAGAAGATTCTTGGACAGCCACATGCTTGCCTGATGGCAGCTGGACATCGCTGCCCAAGTGTGTAAGTACCATAGTCTGACTGGGTTCCTGGGTAGCCACTGCCTGACTTCTACTACGAAAAATAACTGTTTGAACTTCTTAAAAGCTCTTGGTTTATGGTGCCAGTGGGGGACACTGAGGGCGTTGGGGCAGCGCCTGGCAAACGGGACAGAAGTTGAGGCTCAGAGCTGAGGAGTGGGTGGCTCTCCGTCTGCTGCACTGCAAACTTGCATGCTTTTTTCTGGGTTGTGTTTGGTTTGTTTTGCTTTTTAACAGAAGAAGGAAGGTGATGCTGATGTATGTGAAGAGGTTCATTACATTAGAGCGGTCTTTGAATGCGGTGTGCCTATCGCAGAGGTGAAAACTCTACTGGAAATACAAAAACTGTTTCTGGAGATTAAAAAACTAAAGGTGGAACTAGACAACTTGAACAAGTAAGTCCTGTAATGCACTGTAATGATCAGCTTTCCTTTGGTGAACTCACAGTTTGTGTTGTCACAGTACCTATGAGAAGGCTCTCGGTGACTTTAGGGTTCACGCTTGCATGCATATAGCCAGAGAAATAATAACCAGTGTATGGCAGACTGCTTTTTCCATGGCAGAGCATAGAGAGATTTTTGCTCTTTTCCTTAAATCTGACAAGCTCGATTGGATATTTAACAAACATGTTGATTCACATTTTATTTTAGGCAGCATAGTAAGAAACTAAATTGAGCTTCTTTGAGTCACTGAATAAACTGTGCTAAGCTGATAGAAGGGGCGCTGAAGTCGAGGGAAGTAAACTCCTGGCGGAGATGAGTGTCCGGCTCTCTGAAGGTGCTTTTGCTGTGATTTTCCAGCCGGTGGTTTGCGCAATGCCGCAGCCCCTGCCCGTACCGAGCACAGCCTGTCACAGCATTACCTGCTGCTTCTGTTCAGAAATAGCAGGGAAGGGAGTGTTTAACTACGTGACTTCCTGTTAATCTAGCTCGTGATTTCTATTTTTCTAGATAAGGGCAACTACATACGAGAAGTGCCTTTGTAAAGGCTTCTATTTGCTTATCCCTGGATTTAAAGCCGGCAACGGGTTTCTGGCCCAGCACTGTACTCGACAGATATCTGTGGTGGTGTCATCTTCCCTGTCCCTATTTCTGGCAAGCAAACGCTAAGAATAGATGTTGTAAGTTTAAGTGCAGAGAATCAGGCAGCAAAGATTGTTCTTACTACTCAATAAACAATGATCCATTTATGTAGTTCTGTGATGCGGCAGTTACTCCTTCCCTTCAGGCTGACAATAAAGATGGAGGTGTAACCATGGCTGTCTTGTAATCTCTCACACTGGCTGTAAATTAGACAGATTTCCAGTGTGGTCCAATGATTGTTCCGAGAGAGAGCCGAGACCTGGCAGCCCCGGGTGGTCCTCGCGGCGCTGGGGACCCGCAGGGGGCACGGCATGGCACGGCACGGCACGGAGCCGCGGAGCTGAGGGCACCGTGCAGCACAGCAGCGTGCTGCTGCCCGGGCTTGGTGGGAGAAGGGGGAGCAGTCAGCTCCTGCACAAGCAATTTGGTATATCGTAGCCAGATGCGTGCTTTTACGAGTTATTAGAGTTGCTTTAAATGTTACAAGAGCCCAAGGCACAAAACCCAGGGAAGAGATGGGGCCTCCCAGCTTTACACAGAAAGATGCTTTGATAATGCATCCTGTGCTTCACCACATCCCGGTGAGGAGATCGGTGATCAGAGGCACTCTCAGCCCCACTCCGGCTCTCCCCGTGCCGCAAGGAGAGCAGGACCGCATCCTCCTGGTGTGGTCCCTCGCTCTCCTCCGCGCTGTGCTCCCCTGGGGCTGCAAACACAAAGTGTCTTACCTCCTTCTGCAAGGCTCGAAACCCATAGGCATGAATAAGAACTGGGTGTTCTGCATGTGTCTGAGAGTGTGTCTGAGCAGTCTTGACTGATGTCAGGCGGGATATTTCAGAGCGTTAGTCAGTGCACAGACGGATTCACTCACACCCATTCCTAATTACAGATGAGTCAGGCAACCAAGAAAAAAGTTAACAAATGAAAAGGATAATGCTTTTATTTTTTGTTTCACTAACTCTGCTTATGGAACATCAGTGCTGCGTTACCTGCCAGCAAATGACTAAGTAGGCATTTTCCTACCCTGGATACAGCCTGGGGCTGTGGGGGGTCTTGTCTGCTCTGGCAGCATTTGGTTTTGCTAAAATTGTGCCAGTCAGTGCTCACTGCCAGTTTCAGGTCAGTGGGTTGAGTTATTCCCCCATCCTTTATGGTGGAGCAGGAGGACTGGGAGGCTTTACCCAGGGCTGTGGATGACAGTTGTCCCCACCCCTGGCTGCTCTCCGTGTCCCTGACGGAGGGTTTAGCTCCGTGGGTGTTCTGGAAAGGTTTCCACTGCTCCAGAGGCTTGGCCGAGCCCGCCGTGCTGCATCTCCTCCCAGCTTCAGCAACAGCCCCTTGGAGCCGACGGTGCTCGACAGAGGAGCACAGAAGTTGCTGCAATGAAGTCGGCAGAACCAGGACGGGGGAAGCACCCCGGCACCCTGAGCTGTGGTGCCACAGCGGGTGCCCAGAGGTCTGGCCACCCCGTGCTGCTCCTGGCCTTGCTGGGGCTCCTTGGCATGCCTGTGGCTCGCAGTGAGTATGGGGAGGACCAGCAAGACCTGCCCAGGTCCCACCTTTGCTGTTCAGGGGCTGGGGAGGGGGATGCCACCACCCCCAACCCATTGCTGGATGCTCTCAGGGATGCTCTCAGGGATGCAGCCCTGCCTGGTGCCTTTGCCCGGAGGGAGAGCCTGGGCAAGCCCAGCCACGCTCCTGGGATGCTCGTTGGGGCTGGGGAAGGGGCCAGGCAACGGGGTCCTCACCTGAGGAGGTCTTCCCCTGCTGCAGGTGACTGTGGGCCCCCACCTCGCATGACCCACTCCAGACCATCCAGCGACGAGCAGGCCAGCAGCTTCCCCGTTGGATCCAGGGTGACGTACACGTGCATCGAAGGCGCCATCAAAATCCCTGGGAGGTCGGACACGGTGGTGTGCCTGCCCGGCGCGCGCTGGTCACAGCTGCCCGAGCCCTGCGGCCGTAAATACCTCCTTTCTCTGAAACACCTCTCCCTCCTCTGCCTCTTGCTTGGCTTAAAATTTCTGCCCCTTACAGCGGCTGCTCTGCAGTGGCACCACCTCTCCCGGCCAGGGATTGAGCTGCCGATGGGCGCGGGATCCCCGCCTGCCGGCGCGAGGGTCAGTCGGAGGGTGGCCGGAGCCCGGGATGCTCACGGATCTCCCGAGCCCCGGCTGCACGCGCGTGAGGCTGCTGCTCTCCCACTAACACCTTTGCCTGTGCAGCTAACGCATCTTCACCTGCATTTTGCAAAAGATGCAGTCAGAAGGGCAGCAGCCCGGTATGAGAACAGAAGTCGCCTGCGATGAGCGCGAGGAGCTTTCCAAAAGCGCCTTAGTGAGAGCGTTTCTGTAACTCCGAGGTTTATTCCGCGTCCCTCCCGGCGGGCGGCTCTTTCAGGCCCGCTTTCCTTGACTGCCAGGGAGCTGCGCTGTCCCGCCAAGGCTGCGGTTTGCTGCCCTGTCCAAGGAGGACGAGAGGATTAATTTCTTTCCTGTTGGGATCAACGTGAGCTACGTCTGCCGCCCCGGCTATGAGAACACCTCGGAAAGTTCCCCCACCAGCACTTGCCTTGAAAACCTGGAGTGGTCAGAAGCCGCTGAGCTGTGCAGGAGTGAGTATCTCTGCTCCGCTCCGCTCCGCTTGCCGAAAAGCAGCCAGGGAGCTTGGAGCAGGTCGGGTAGCTGCTCCCAACCCGCCGGCTGAAATGCAGCTGGGTCGTTATCGTCCCAACAGTTACATGCTTAATTCAAAATTAGGTGGGTATTCCTTGACATTAATATTTAGGACTGAACTGCAGGAGCATCAATAGTGTTTGTTTGGGTTTGGTTTGTTTGGGTTTTTTTTCGTTTTCTGCTGGCATGAACAGATCTGTTTTGACTTTCATGTTAGTAAATACATCCACATCGGGACACAGCATACACACAGGACAATTGCCAATTTGCAATTCTGGTGATGAACTTCAAAATGAAGACAAAGCACGTTTCTTGGTGAAATCCATGTAATGTTAAGACTGACGATGTGGCAGCAGTACATTTGTCACAGTCGAGTAACTCGCTGCCGATCTATTGACATGGAAATATATCTGCCAATACTCTCCCCTGCCCTCCGGCGAGATGCTCACCGCTGCCAGTGTGGAGGCCTTACGGGGACCCACACCTTCACCTACAGCTGCTTCTGGCTCCTGCCAGCCCGGCTGTGACACGTGGGAAGTAGAACGCTTTGGTAACTTTGGGTATAACCCTCTAAGTCTGTCCCTTATTTAGGCTTTTTCATTTCTCCATCACTGTCCGTCACCGCTAACGCTGGCTTCTTCTCCGGCAGGGAGGTCCTGCGGGGAGCCGGGAGCGCTGCCCGGGGGCAGGATGGTCACTCTCACCAATCTGCAGTTCGGTGCGAGAGTGAACGTGTTCTGCGAAGACGGGTGAGTCACAGGGCAATGCCCCGAGCTCCGGCACACCGGTGCCGATGCCGGAGTGCAAACTCCGGTCCAGTGCAATGGACTCCAGTCCAACCTGTGGACAGGGGCTGGGCTGCTCTTTCACCATATAGCAGTCCTGCGGCGCGGCTCCGAGGGCAGAGCGTGTGGCTGCTTTTCACACTTGAATTACAGCTGTGGGCTGGGAAGGAATAACACAGCTGGAGGGAAGGGCCTGGGGCCTGAATTTATGGCTGTCTTTGCCTTCAAGTGTCATCCAGAAGAAACTTAACTGCCCCAGGGTATCTATCCCAACAGGGCCGGCCGTGCCACCAGTTTAGAACTATAGACTTCAAAACTTAAAATACTTCAATTTAACATATTTGAGATATATTGAATAAAAAGGGGTTATGCTTGAATTT